TCACAGGACACAGGCACATATTATGGCCACTTTCGAGCTGCGGTAGCAGACGTGAGTGGTTATTACATCAGAAACCAAATGTCTCACAAACCTAAAATATTTACTATGGGGCCCTTTATAGAAAAAAAAAAATGCTGACGTAGAATCATGTGGTCAACATAATTGCCTAATGCTTTCAGGGAAAAATTTTTGTCATAATTGTGATTGCTAAATAATTAAAAGCCTCCCCTTTTGTGCAGAAACTGGTTACTTAAAAAGAAATTCTGAATAAACATCCTTCACAAATGACTTTTTTTTTTTTTTAACGTTTTTTATTTATTTTTGGGACAGAGAGAGACAGAGCATGAACCGGGGAGGGGCAGAGAGAGAGGGAGACACAGAATCGGAAACAGGCTCCAGGCTCCGAGCCATCAGCCCAGAGCCCGACGCGGGGCTTGAACTCACAGACCGCGAGATCGTGACCTGGCTGAAGTCAGACGCTTAACCGACTGCGCCACCCAGGCGCCCCCACAAATGACTTTTTAAATAGAATGTGCAGCAGGTGTGCATAAGATAGATAAATACATTTATATATCTTCTCACTAAATGTTAGCGCTCTGCTTGTTTTCAGAGACGGTCTGCTTGGCCCAATGTTTGCAATAATCTTTATGATTGTCAAACCCTTTCATAGACATTAACTTATTTGATAATTTACAAGTGCTGGGGGTACTGATCGGCAGTAATAAAATGGTCCCTGAGCTGAACGGATGGCAGCCATCCTTTAACTGAATGGTCTTGCAAGTGCTCTGCTTCTGGATTTTTTCTTGAACCTACTCACCCGCAGCCCATCACCTTGCTGACAACAGGGTGCCTGGGTGTCCCCGTGCTACATCCCTCTGTTAATTTGTGACTTTTTAAAACAATATTTATTCATTTTTGAGAGAGAGAGAGCACATGAGTGAGGAAGGGGCAGAGAGAGAGGGAGACAGAGAATCCCAAGCAGGCTCTGCACTCTGAGCACAGAGCCCGATGCCGGGCTGGAACTCATGAACCGTAAGATCATGACCTGGGCTGAAACCAAGAGGTGGACGCTTAACTGACTGAGTCAGACAGGTCCTCTTGAATTTGTGACTTTTTAGCTGCTTAGGTCTGAGTAACTTTGTTATGACTATGCAACTATACTAAGAGCTCATGGCCTAAGACCGGAGAGGGGTTCAACACACATGAACAGGACCTCTGATGCTTAAAACAAAGATGATAAATTTGCATCTTGAAGGCTCCATGCAGCCTTCAGGGTGCATGTACATGCATGCACTTGTGTTTAAAAATTTCTTAAGTACTTGGTCACATTCAAAGAGTCTGGGAATTTTTTTTTAAGGGTAAAATTCAGATTTCTCACTTCTGAAAATATTTGAAAAGTGGGGCACCGGGATGGCTCAGTCAGTTAAGCATCTGACTTCAGCTCAGGTCATGATCTCACGGTTCATGGATTCTAGCCCTGCGTCGGGGTCTGTGCTGATGTCTCAGAGCCTGGAGCCTGCTTCAGATTCTGTGTCTCTCTCTCTCTCTGCCCCTCCCCCACGCATGCTCCTTTTCCGTCGCTCAATAATAAACATTAAAAAAAAATTACAGGCCCCATGGCCAGCGTGGCATTATTGGCCAGCGTTGAGAGGGAGCTGCTTGCTTTAGGTGGGACATAGGCTCTTCACTGCGGTCCCCACCCTCCCTCTGTGTCCATGACACCTCGCCCAAATGTGAGCTGCCACTTGTGAATTTACCAGCCCTGTCTTTCCCTTCCTCCTCCAGCTTCACCTACTATCTTCATTCCTCTTCCCCGACACATTCACGTGTGTGAATCCAGCCCACAAATGTGTGATCGTTGGTTGCTGGGAGATCCTTTCTTGTTTATTTTCTGTGTCTCCCGCGTAGCCAAAGCATTTGGGGTTGCCAGACTGACACAGCATGGTATACATTTGGCGGAAATGAGGGGACCCGTCACAAAGCGTTGTCGTGAGCCAGCAGCAATAATTAAGCTGAGAGGAGTGATCTGTGGTAGAGAGGTATGAGCACTTGGAAAGGAGTCAGGCCCGGATTCCAAGCCTGCCCCTGCCGAGAACCAAACCAGCCTCCACGTTTGCCCCTCATGGCTCAGCTGGGGCAGACACATGGCTCCTAAGTTACTAAGAACCCAGTGACTGTAAGGGAGAAAAGATCCGCCGTGTTCTCAGAAACCTTTAGGTAGCCTCGCCTCGTGTGTTCGTGCAGAGCGGAGCTGATGATGTGTTGTTAGCTGCCTCCTGTGCTATCTCCTCGTTTGTGATGTTAAAGATTATCCTGGGGTACGGGGAGGCAGGGGAAGGTCATACAAAATGCCCGCTTGATGACAGTTTGCAGTAGGTTAAGCCAACTGCAGTGACCAGAGCAGAAATAATGTACTGGTTGGAAGTCACAGCTTAGCCCGCCCCAATTATTTGCTAGAAGAAAATGCCTGTTCAGTTGCCACAGATACCAAGCAAAACAAACCTACCCGCTGGGCTAATTGCTTAGCAGGGCATCATCTCGCAATCTCACGTTGTTCATCTAAACCATTGTACATAAGGCAGGACAGACCAGAGAGGCATCTCCCGGGTCGTGCTGTTTGGAGCTGTAAATCACATCGCGCCTCTCTCGCAGCCCCGCTTGCAATCTGCGTTGAATAAATCCTGATGAAAGATTTGTTGAGTTTGCTTTGTATTGGCATTCCATTGGGGCTCTACTGTAGGGTCAAGGCTCAAGGCAAAAAGAGGGGAAAACCACCCCGAACCTACAATGAGAGCCCAGAATTCCCTGCCTCCCCCCCGGCCCTCCCCTACTCCTGCTCTCCGCGAAAGTTCTGCCAAGGATGTATTTTACAGAAAAGGGCGTGGCTCTACTAAGAGTGAAGGGAAGTGAAGGCATCCACATGGGCTATTCAATTCTTCCCTTCCTGTAGCATATTTCTATTTTGTGTCTGGGGCAAAGGGGGAGAGTGATGGGGAAGGATAAGAGTGGAATTTAACCTCCCCTGTTTCAGTAGAAATAAAGCAACCCACTGGAAAGCCTTAAGAGGGTAAAAATTTCTCTTTGCCATTACTAAGAACAGAAGTCAAAATATCAGCTCATTAACAAGGTCAGGAGATGTTGGATATTTTTCTAAAGAGAAACAATAACAATAGTTGGTAATGCTTATTCAACATGTATGGTCATAAACATAAACCCTGAACAAGAGTCATCTCTCTTTTTTTTCTTAAATTTTTTTAATGTTTATTTATTTCTGAGACAGAGAGAGACAGGGCATGAGTGGGGGAGGGGCAGAGAGAGAGGGAGACACAGAATCAGAAGCAGGCTCCAAGCTCCGAGCTGTCAGCACAGAGCCTGACACGGGGCTTGAACTCATGGACTGTGAGATCATGACCTGAGCCGAAGTCGGTCGCAGGTCCGACTGAGCCATCCAGGTGCCCCCAGAGTCATCTCTTTTTATGTTCTTCCCAGCCATGTGAAACGGAAACCACTGTGACTGTCCATCTCACAGATGAAGAAGCTGGGGCTCAGAGAGGTTCAGTAACTTTACCCTGGTCTCACAGCTGGTCAGCGACCAGCAGGGATTTGAGGCTCAAATGGAGTGGCTCCAGCATCTGGACTAGGGAGCTGCAGAGTGAAGCTTTCTGGCTTCTCTCCAGCTGAATGACTTGGGAAAAGAATGTTCTTCTTGGCCTCGGTTTTCTCATCTGTAAAATAAAGGGTTGTATTAATTAGATATCTTTAAGGTCCCCGCCAGCTCTTCGGGTCTGTGTCCAAATCCGTATCCATCACATCCTTGACACTGTTGTCATTCATTAGCTCAGCCCATTACAGTAAGCTGGGGAGTGGGGGGGGGGGAAGGGGAGAGGGGTGGGACAGGAAGGGGGCAAGGAGATCGCTGCATTATACACCAAACACTTTCCTAACAGAGGCAGCTGATCCTGCCCAGACAGGTGGGACGGGAGATGGGCGCAGGCATTTTTAGCATACCACTGTGACTGTCACAATGGATTTTGTAGTTGGACCAGTCCCTTTTCCCCAGAAGCGTCCTTACCGCCCTCATAGGTCTACAGGGCACTCCACATTTGCTGAGTGCTCCAGGCACCTGGCACAGGTGAGCTGTGACAACCCCTGTGTAATGTGACCGGACCTGCTGGGCTTCTCTTTCTTCCTGCCTCCCTTGAATTACACTGAGTGATACTTCCAGGAATTTTGCAGCAGCCCCAAAGCCTTTGTTCTTTCTTCAGAATAAGGAAGTGGGAGAGGTGGCTTGGTGGGAAGGAGACTTCTTTGAGTTCTGTGAAATGAACTCAAATCTGAAGCTGTCAGACTTTTCAAAAGACCCAGTGGCTAGTCACTCCACATTTCGTAGATAAATACCGTGTTGACAGCTCAAGTTATCTGAAGCTCTGTGTGAAAGGGGAACCAACTTTTCTCTCTGGGAACAAGGACTCTCACGTTTCGGTCTGGGGTGCAAACTAACGTGTGTTTGTTTCATTTACGATTTGTGTCATCCACACGGACCCTTCAATGTTACAAGTCAGTCACCGCTAGGTTCCTTCTGCCATACCCCAAGAAGGTGATGCTTTTTTCCCTCTTCCCATAGCCTCCACAGACTCGGTGGTATATAACACCATGGGAAACTGGCTGATTTAATCCGGGGAACACGTACCTCACCAGTCTTTTTTCTTTCTGTTTTTTTCTTTCCCTTTTTTTTTTTTTTTTGCAGCTGATAATCTGCTGAACACGTGTTACAAGTGCATTTTTTTCTTATCTGTGTCTGCATGCCCAGAGGTAGAAACAACACTGACAACAAAAAGAGGGGCAGAGAAGCAAATAAACCCGAGGGGCAGAGGTCCTCAACCTTGTGGTTTCCCCGGGGCGGCTAGCAGGTCGCGGGGCTCCCCGGGGGGCAAAGTGGGAGCATTTACTCTGCCAGGCGAGGGGTGGGGGGGAGCCTGGGAAGAGAAGGGAGATGGTATCGGAATAGATTGGACGGGAGGGGGGCGGGGTGAAGCCGGGGAGACTCAGCCCTGGCGAAAAGGACCCGTCCTTCCAATGCAATGCAGTAGGTAATTTGCAAGGATCCGCCACTCGCATTCCGTATGCAAATGAGGAGGGCCTCTGGGCGGGGCGGAGCGCGGCCGGGATTCAGCACCGAGGGTCGGAAGAGCACGCCGAGCCCGGGGAGCATCGCTTCTTCTCCGGCCGGCGCCCCGGAGGAGGGACGCCGCGCTCCGGGAGACAGTAGATGAGGCTTGAAGCGCTCACGCCCCGCTGCGAAGCTGTCGAAATCCCAGACTGCGAAGAGCCGTCAGTTCAGCCTCTTCGCGCCCGAGGTTTCAGGGGCCGGTCATTGCTCCATCCCTGGAGAGAGATCCCTTCCCCGAGGAAGTGAAAATAATGAACTTTTGGAGGTATTGCTGTTTTGCTTTCATCCTGCTCTGTGTGGTTATTTTGGTGATCCTTTATAGTAGCCAGTTAAACGTGCCAAAGAGTTTCGGGAAGGTGAACGGTTCCAGTCCAAGGTATTCTCCAGTGCAAGCCTGTGATGACGCCTTAGGAGCCAAGTCAGCCTTTCTGTGGGGGAAGACCTTACCATCCCCTTTGGGAAGCGTCCCTTGTAAGGACTACCTGATCCAGAATCACTACATCACAAGCCCCCTGTCGGAAGAAGAAGTCGCTTTCCCTTTGGCTTATGTCATGGTCATCCATAAGGACTTTGACACTTTTGAAAGGCTCTTCAGGGCTATCTATATGCCCCAGAACGTCTACTGTGTTCATGTGGATGAGAAAGCCCCGGCTGAGTTTAAGGCATCTGTATGGCGGTTACTGAGTTGCTTCCAAAACGCTTTTGTCGCGTCAAAGATAGAACCTGTGGTCTACGCAGGCATTTCCAGGCTTCAGGCTGACCTGAATTGCCTAAAAGACCTTGCGGCCTCCAAGGTCCCATGGAGGTACGCCATCAACACGTGTGGGCAAGATTTCCCCCTGAAAACCAACAAGGAGATAGTCCGGTATCTGAAAGGATTTAAAGGGAAAAACATTACCCCGGGGGTACTGCCTCCGGATCACGCAATTAAACGGACTAAGTATGTCCACCAGGAGCACATAGGCAAGGATGGCTCTTTTGTGAAAAATACTAATATTTTGAAAACCTCGCCTCCACATCAGCTGACCATCTACTTTGGCACCGCCTATGTGGCCCTTACGAGGGAGTTTGTCAACTTTGTCTTCCATGACAAAAGGGCCATTGATCTACTACACTGGTCAAAAGATACTTACAGCCCCGACGAACATTTCTGGGTGACACTTAACAGGATTCCAGGTAGGTGCCGGTTGCCGTTCCAACGTTTTCTTATTCATAGATTGAGTCCACTAACATGGAACGCTCCTAAGAGAACAGACCCATTTGAAATTATTTGGGAAAAAATGTTAGCCCTTAGAAAACTCTTAGTCTGGTTGCTTTTTAGTGACAGTTTAGTGCCAGCTCTGTCGTCTTGTAACTATGTGCAATATGGTGATCTAAGAAGTATGCAGACTATGGGAGGTCTGGTCTGTTTTGATCATGTATCACATAGTAACCGACTTGTAGTTCAGTGTTTTGTTGTTGCTTTTGTTTTAACTGAGGTGTAATCGACATGTGCTAGCTCAGTCTTGTGAATGAATGCTTTTCATGCTTTTCTGGATAAGCACAGCTACAACGTGATGGAATTGATTTTTCATAAGCAGTCTAGAATGTATGAGTTCTAATAGGTAGTGTTTCTTTCAGAGCGTGTTAAGGGGTGTTAACACTGATCCTCAAAGTCAATGCTCCAAGTCGATGGGGCTGTTTTTAGAATCTTAGAATCTTTGGATGTTGATAAATGATCTCTTCAGTGAAATGTCTCTGGTCTGAGATCTGATCAAGTGCCCAGGTCTCGACCGACTGGGTTCAACACGAGCGGTCTGGCACGGTGTTGCCTAGAAGAACTGGGTAAAATGAGTTGGAATAGACAGAGTTGATCAACAGCTGGGGTCGATCCAAAGTAAATTCTCAATTTCGAAGCCACAGATTATTAGAAATTCCAGTTTGCAGTTGCTTGGCTTTATATACTGTTAAGTCTTTTCCATTGTTTATGATAATCCAGAAAGGGGTCCAAGGGGTGCCAGGCGACCGAAGGCAGAAAACAGAACGCAATTCCCTCTTTGATTCAAGACTGAGTATCTTTTCAAAGTTCTGTTCTCCGTATGCTGCCCGAGAACACCTGTGTGGCCTGCACCACCTGTTCCTGGTGATGCCTCCATCGACTAGTTTCCACTGTTGTGCCAGCCTGACTGGGGGTACCGGCCCTGTGCGAGGGTGGCCCGGTGCCTGCTGTGTGTGAAATCACTCCCTGCGCTTACATGTAGGACTGCCGGTGACACATTGGAGTGTGGTTTGAAGCCACCTTCATCTCTGAAGTAGATCGATAGTGGTTGCTCCTTTCTCAATCACTCCGCATTCCTCAGAGCCGGACTGGAGTCATGGTCTCAAAAGTCTACTCAGGGCAGAAAGAGGACTGGCAAGGGGACTGGGAACAGAGACATATGCTATCCCATGAGCTGCTAAATTGTCAGATCACACAGACTTGTAGGAGCAGGAGTAAACCAACAGTATCATAGTGTAGTGAGTGTTCATCCTGATTATTTACAAACGACTGTCTTAAACACACGTAAATAGGGGCGCCTGGGTGGCTCGGTGGGTGAAGCGTCCGGCTCCGGCTCAGGTCATGATCTCACGGTTCATGAGTTCGAGCCCCGCGTTGGGCTGTGTGCTGACAGCTCAGAGCCTGGAGCCTGCTTCCGATTCTGTGTCTCTCCCCGTCCCCTGCTCATGCTCTGTCTCTATCTCTCAAGAGTAAATAAACTTAAAAAATTTAAAAAAAAAACGTGTAAATATATGATACGTGGTGTCTAATATTGTTTTCTGTTGGTATAGTTTGCTGCAGAGGTATGTATTTCATCATTTCTTTCTTTTTAATTTTTAAATATTTATTTATTTTTTGGAGACAGGGGTTTATTTAACCCTAAATAAATAGGGTTATTTATTTTTTGCAAGCAGGGGAGGGTCATAGAGAGAGAGAGAGAGAGAGAGAGATACAGAATCTGAAGCAGGCTCCAAGCTCTGAGCTGTCAGCACAGAGCCCGACGCAGGGCTCGAACCCACGAAGCACGGGGTCATGAGCTGGGCTGAAGTCAGTTGTTTAACCTACTGAGCCACCCAGGTGCCCCCATCATTTCTTTTAATTAGGAGAAATGATCATTGTAATCCTCACGAGCAGAGGAAGAAAAGGAGGTTTAGAGAGACTGAAGTAATATGCTCATCTTTACACGGCTTGTCCAAGCAAAGCTGGGATCTAATCCTGAATCTGTGTGACCTGAAGTTTGAACTTGCACCAGCAAAGGAGGGAATAGTCATTTCATCTTTCCTGTATATCTGAAGCAAATTCCCTGCAGAATCCCAGAAGGGAGACAGGACAGGGGAAGGGTGGGGAAAAAAAATGGGGGGGGGGGGGCATGGAGGTAAGTTCCAGCTGACCACTTTAAGCTGGAAATAAGTTAACAGGAATAGAGAGGGAGAGTGTGTGTGTGTCTCTGTGTGTGTGTGCGCGTGTTGGAACACGGTGAACACGCTGAGGCTTAGCAGGGCCGCTGTGCTAACTGGAGTCATGGGAAGGTGTCCTTGTTGGAACTGATGGCCAACCCCACACAGGCTTCTGTGACAGCTTCCCCAGTCCCCATCTGGAACAGGCTTTGGTCTGGAGCTTCCTTCTGTGAGCCAGTGGAAATGGCCAGTGTTCTTACAAAAGGCTGGGGGGGGGGGGGGAGGGGGGGAGGAACAAGCAGGCTGAGACTTTGAACCTAGTCCCTGTGAAGTGTATCGAGACTTTGTCTTCACAGTGAATAGAAGTCTTCAAAAATTAGTAGAACATTTTGACATTTATATTTTTAGCAGTCAACAAATATTTATCTAGCCCTTAGTTGTACCAACTACTGTTCCATGGACCAAGAGTGCCTTTTGGTTTTTTTTTTAATTTTTTTTAAAGTTTTTTTTTCCAACGTTTATTTATTTTTGGGACAGAGAGAGACCGAGCATGAACGGGGGAGGGGCAGAGAGAGAGGGAGACACAGAATCGGAAACAGGCTCCAGGCTCTGAGCCATCAGCCCAGAGCCTGATGCGGGGCTCGAACCCACGGACCGCGAGATCGTGACCTGGCTGAAGTCGGACGCTTAACCGACTGTGCCACCCAGGCGCCCCCCAAGAGTGCCTTTTGTAAGAAGACAGACATGACCTCAAGGAGTTTGTTTCTGGATTTAGAATTTTAGTATATTGGACTCATTTCCCCCCACTCCACCACTCAAAAAATGTGTTGTTGTTGTAGTTGTTTTTTTCTTTTTCTGAATATCTGCCCCTGTTTTTAAAACATTTTTTTTAAGTTAGCTTTCTAAAAAACAGGAAATATATTCAAAAGGTGTCAGATCTCTTTATTTTGCACTCCGTCAGTTCCTGATAGATTGCTGCCGTATACGTCCTTCCAGAGATACTTTACTACGTTTACAGAAAATAAAATTAATGAAACATCCTGCGTGGAAAACGGTACACATCTTTTTTCTCTTTAATTGAGGTAACATTGGCATAGGATTAGTTGCAGGTGTACAACATAATCATTTGATTTATGGTCACACTACAAGGTGACCACCATAAGAAGTCTGGTTACCACCTGTCGTTATGCAATTAACCCCCTTCACCCGTTTTACCCACCCCCAGACCCCTTCCCGTCTGATAACCACCCATCTCTGTATTCTATGAGTTTTGTTTTGTCTGTTCATTTTTTTAAATAGTATTTTGTCCATCTATTTATTTATTTATTTATTTATTTATGTATTTACAAGAAATCCCTACACCCAGTGTGGGACTCGAACTTACAAGCCCGAGATCAAGTCACATGCTCTACCGACTGAACCACCCCAGGCGCCCCCACATATACTCTTTTTCTCCCACAAATACACAGACGAAGAAAAATGATCTTTATAGCAGGTCCCCTATTGTCTGTAAGCGAGAAACAAAGGACGACACAATGCGTTATTTGCACAGATCATCGGCCGACATTTAGGAAGCTGCTTTTGACTTAAACGCTTTAGTTTTCCTTATTTTGAAGTGATTTGTCACCTGGATCCAAACAAGGGGTGGCGTAATTTTCGGTAGTAAGGGTTAGAGAAATGGTAGGTAAGATACCGCGTGGAGGTATAATGCCCCAAGAGCTAGGCCAACACGTGGTATCAGTGAAGGAGAAGATAAAAGTATCAGAAAGACCTTGTAGCATTGGCAAGCCTCGGAGTTCCAGTCGGAATGTCATAGGGCAAAGTTCCTCCTTAAGAAATCTGGTTTCCGGGTAGCCACCCCGGGCCCATCATGCAGTCGCATCTGATTCCAAGAGAAAGCACCTGCTCCCTACCTGGACGCCTGCAGTTCGTTTCCATCTTACGTGCGCCTGTTTGGAGTTTCTCCCCCAACTTGGTGCCCCTCCAGCCCCGCTGTTAGTATTGCTGTTAGGTTCCTGGCCTGCTCCCCTTTCGTGCAGTGGGCTTCTCCTGTCTTCATTTGATCTGGGCTGCTCCTTAGCTACTGGATTAGGGGGAAAGAAACACGGGTATAAGGAAATGAAAGGTTAAGAAAAGACAACAATAGAAAGAAACTTGAAACATTTCTCCAGGTGTCGCTCCCAGCAGATGTAAACACTGAGCTATTTAGAAGGTAGGTGTTCTCTACCCGAAAGGTTACCTGCCGGGCCCTTAAATCTGGGCGTGGCTGGATCAGTCCCAGCGTTTTTCAAAGTATGCATTGTGTTCTCTGTACATCAGCCTAAGTTTAGAAATCAGTTTCTAGAACCACAAAGGATGCATTCAGTCATGCCGGTGACCGAGAATTATAAATATTGATGGACTGGTAGGATCATGTCTTAAAAATGTCATTAGAACAGTCGGCTCTACCATACAGCTATTTGTGTGTGTCTGCGGCCAGATGAAAATCCACACTGACACTTATTTGATCAATATGGAGGTGAATTCTGGTTGAAGGAAAAATTGTATAAATCAGAAACTTCCATGGGTTCCTATCCATATAACAGAATTTTAAAACGATGCTACGGGGGCGCCTGGGTGGCGCAGTCGGTTAAGCGTCCGACTTCAGCCAGGTCACGATCTCGCGGTCCGTGAGTTCGAGCCCCGCGTCAGGCTCTGGGCTGATGGCTCAGAGCCTGGAGCCTGTTTCCGATTCTGTGTCTCCCTCTCTCTCTGCCCCTCCC